CCCATACACACTCCTTGGCACTCACATGCAGGACCTCTTGCCGGAGACCAACTGGTTCCACACAGCTGACCAGGCGCAGCAGCAGGTCCATGAGAGCTGAGGTGCCTACGTGCTTCAGCATCAGGCTGATGAACTTCTCCTTCTTCTTCAAAAACATGATCACCTGAGATTAAACACACCTAGTAAGTAAACGGGTTTCTGACATGAAGAAACACCTTTAAGAGCTCTCACAAGAAAAATAATTAGCTTTCAACTATAGTGAGAAGAAATGACAGGAAGGCAAGGTAGAGGCTGTATGAAAAAATTCCCTCCCAAGACAGGCAGAGTCCTAGAGGACGGTGACACGAGTGCAGAGTGGCAGTGCCACTAACTGGACAGCACGCCTGGAGAATAGTGCAAGTTACCATGCACAGTCACCACGGAACATGTGCCAGCTCAAGTGTGCCCGACAGAAACAGAAGACATAGAAACAACCAACTGGGAGATGAGAGTCATTGTTTCAGAGCTACATAGAGGGGCCCTGTCTGAAAAGACCTTGTCCTCCCACCTCTTCATGTTGTGGTATGCACTGCCTTACATCACACATATACACAATAAATAAATAAATAAATTCGTAAGACTATAATGAGAAGTTAATATAAATAGCTTTATACCAACTTGTATGTATCTTAAAAAAATAAAGAATTTTCAAAAACTCCAATTAACCAGTAAGGTGGCCCATGCCTTCCATACTAGCACTTGGAAGGCAGAGACTGGTGGATCATGTGAGTTCAAGGCTACCCTGGTCTACATAGTCAGTTCCAGGACAGCCAGGGCTACAAAAGACAGACTCGGTAGGGGAAAAAAAAAATGGGAGGGGGGAGCAACAAACAAATCAAATCAAATTAACCAGGATACATGCCAGTAATCCCAGCCCATGAAAGGCAGAGGCAGGAAGATAAGAAGTTCAAATCATTCTCAGCTATATTGAAAACTCAAACCCAGCCTTGGCTGCATGGGATATTCTTTCTTAAAATAAATAAATAAGGAACACTGTTAAAAGGGGGGAAAGACTCCAGGGCTCAGTAGATAAAGCCACTTGTCACCAAGCCTGACAACCTAAGTTTGATCTCTAGAACCCATATAAAGGTAGAAGAAAAGTAGCTGGGCGGTGGTGGCGCACGCACGCCTTTAGTCCCAGCACTCAGGAGGCAGAGGCAGGCGGATCTCTGTGAGTTCCAGGCCAGCCTGGTCTTCAAAGAGAGTTCCAGGACAGCCTCCAAAACCTACAGAGAAACCCTGTCTTGAAAAACAGAAGAAGAAAAGAAGAAGAGTGACTCCAGAGTTGTTTTCTGAACTCCAAATGTGTACCATAGCACACTGTTTACCCCTCCCCCAGCATCATACACACAAATACAAAAACAACAAATTTTAAAGTATTTTTTATCTTTATTTTTATGTGTATGAGTGTTTTGCCTGCATGAATGTCTGTGCACCATGTTTGTGTAGTGCCTGTGGAGACCAGAAGAGGGTGCTGGATTTCCTAGGACTAGAGTTACAGTTTTGAGCCACCATGTGGAATTAGAACCTGAATCCTCTGGAAGAACAACCAGTGCTCTTAACCCTTAAGCCATCTCAGGAAACTGTGGTAGGTGTGTAAAATACATTTAAAAAAATGTTAATTAAATAAAAAATATTTTTAAAGATTATCTAAACTGACAAAAAGAAAATATTAATCCACACGAACATCAAAAGAAATACAACTCGGTTAGAGAGATGGCTCATTGTATAGGAGAACTGGCTGAACTTCCAGAGGTCCTGAGTTCAATTCCCAGCACCCACATGGTGGCTCACAACCATCTGTAATGAGATCTGGTGCCCTCTTCTGGTCGGCAGCCATACATGCAAGCATAACACTGTATACATAATAAATAAATCTTAAAAAGAAAAAGAAATACAACTCAATGGGTGTGATGGTGCACACCTTTAATCCCAGCACTTGGCAGGCAGAAGCAGGTGGATCTCTGTGAGTTTGAGGTCTTTTTGTGTTACAGAACAGCCAGAGCTACACCTGTCTCAAAAAACAAACAACCCCCCCACATAAAAACCCAACAAAGAAAAGAATAGGCAATTTAAAAACATCTCATTAAAGACCACAGCACAAGACTGAACAATAGAAAAGAAAAATAAAGCCAGGCATGGTGGTACACACCTTTAATCCCAGTGCTTAGAAGGCAGAGGCAGGCAGATTTCTGAATCCTGAGTTCCAACTTTGAGGCTAGCCTGGTCTACAGAGTAAGTACCAGGATAGCCAGGTGTATATATAGAAACTCAATCTCAAAAACAAAACAAAACAAAAAAGAAAAGGAAAGAAAGATATGCAACAACACAAATGCAATGTTGGTTTAACATTATATGAAGAGCATTTTATTAATTTCAACAGTCATTGCTACTACATAAACTTCCAAAAAGCTGGGACTCAAGAAAACTCCCTTAGATTGCTTTTTATTTGTTTGTTTCTATGCTAATGATTAAACCCATGACCTTGTACATGATAAGCAATACTCTACTATTGATATATAACTACCAGGTACTTAGGGCTGATTTTTTTATTTATTACATTTATTTATTGTATATAGCAGGACATGAGTATACCACAGCACATGTGGCAGTCATATAGGTCCCAGGGATTGAATTTAGGTTGTCTGGCTTGCCAGTAAGCACCTTCACCCACTAAGCCATCTCTCTGGCCTGGGCTTGATTTATTTTTTTAAAGATTTATTTATTATGTAAATTATATATGCATGCATGCCAGAAGGCGGCACCAGATCTCATTATGGATGGTTGTGAGCCACTATGTGGTTGCTGGGAATTGAACTCAGGACCTCTCGAAGAACAGCCTTGACCTCTGAGCCATCTCTCCAGCCCTAGGCTTGAATTTTCAAGAAGCTTTAGAGCTGCATATATAGATCAGTTGGTACAGTGTTTGCCTAACATGCATGAAGCCCTGAGTTTGATTCCCAGCAACACAAACTGGATACAGTGGCACAAGCCTATAATCCCAGCATTCAGCAAATGAAGGCAGGAGTTAAAGGTTATCTTCAGATACATAGGGGGTCTGAGGTCGACCTGAGATACAGCAGAACTTGTGGATACACTTTATATATGTATGAAATTCTCAATGAATAAATAAGCAGTAAATAAAAATTTAAAGTAAAACACTAAAAGCCTTTCAATAAACACCTTAATTATGATTTTTTCTTCTAAGGTAATAAATAACACAAGGAAATTCACAATTAGCGCCTCTTTTCTTTTTTTAAGATTTTATTTATTTATTATGTATACAACATTCTGCTTCCATGTATATCTGCACACCAGAAGAGGGCACCAGATCTCATAACGGATAGTTGTGAGCCACCATGTGGTTGCTGGGAATTGAACTCAGGACCTCTGGAAGAGCAGTCAGTGCTCTTAACCTCTGAGCCATCTCTCCAGCCCTTAGCGCCTCTTTTCAATACTGTACTAAAGGCTCCAGCCAATTCAGTAAGACATGAAAAAGAAAGAAAGGATATACAAATTATAAATCATAAAATAAAACTGTCATTAATTTGGGGCTGGAGAGATGGCTCAAGGGTTAAGAGCACTTGCTCTTGCAGAGGACCCAAGTTCAGTTCCCAGCACCAATATGGCAGCTCACAACCATCTATAACTCCAGTCCTGGGGATCCAATACCATCTTTTGACCTCCTTGGGCACCAAGCATACATGTGGTACATATACATGCATGCAAGCAAAACATTCATTACACATAAAAAAGTTAGATCACCATTAATCACAAATGACATATTGTACATAAATAAAACAAAAGGATATAAATTATCAGAGTAGCAGTTTTATTTCTCACCAATAAAAATGGAAAGTAGAGTAGATGTCCTCCAACACATGAATGGTTAAACTGTGGTTCACCCACACCATGCAATATTAAATAGCAATAAAGCCAAAACAAATCTTTGATACACACAACTTGGACGACTATTTTAATTTGGATGAAACTACACTCAGGAAGAGGCTGAGTCCTGAAGTCCACAAAGCACAAGGCTGGCGAATTAGTTTAGTGCTTCAGCTCTTGCCCTGAGTTCAGTCTCTTAACTTCATAAAACAAAAAGGAATTTAAGTTTGAGGTCAGCCTAGTTTATACAGCAAGTTCCAGGGCAGCCCGGGATACAGAGAGACCATATCTAACAACAAAATGTACACAATTGACAATGAATAAGTAAAAAGCAACAGTATAACTGTGTAACCCCTGACAATGAATAAGAAAAAAGAAACAATATAACAGAATAGGCTCAGCCAATTCTTCTTGTAGCCAAAAACAGATACTGCACTGGGGGCTAGTTTTTGTTTGTTTGAGTCATTTGAGATCAGGAACCTCAGCAGAGAAAATGTTTCCATACATCAGCCTGTAGGCAAACCTATAAGACATTTTCTTAATTGATGACTAATGTGGAAGGGCCCAGTGCATTCTGGGTAGGTGATCATAGGGTGTATAATAAAAACAAACTGAGTAATCCCGAGGGTGCACACCAGTAAGATGTGCTCCTCCATGGCCTCAGCTTCTGCGTTTAGTTCCTGCCCTGATTTCCTTTGTGATGACTGTGATGCAGAACTGTAAGCTGAAACAAACCCTTTTCTTCCCAAGCTACTTTTGGTGTTTTATCACAGTAACAGAAACCCTAAGATAGAAATTGGTATCAAGGTTGTGAGACATTGCTGACAGACCTGACTGTTTTTGGAAGGTCTGTGGAAGGACTTTCCTTTGAGCTAGAGAAACCATGGAGTGTTCAAAGCTTGATGAGCTGTTTTGTGGGAACTTAGAAGAGAATGTAGAGAGCAGTGCAGATAATAGAGGCGCTGTTTTGTGGGAACTTAGAAGAGAATGTAGAGAGCAGTGCAGATAATAAATAAACTTCTGCCTTGTGAAGTTTCAGAGGGAACTTTGAGAGTTTTAAAGACTCAAAAGGGGTGCTCACTTTCACAGCACATACACTAAAATTGGACCAATACAGAGAATGGCATGACCCCTGTGCAAGCATGACAGGAAAATTCGTGAAGCATTCCATATATTTAGATGCTGAAGAGTTAACTCCACAACTAATGGTTTCTGGCAGGGATGAGGGTGGGGAAGGACTTAGTTTTCTTTAAGGGGCTGGCCACCTGGAGTCTGATCACATCCCACTAAGTATATGGGCAACACAAATTGGACATTTTTTTCCTTCTTTTTTATTTGGAGCGGGGAGGCACAAGGGTAGGGGGGTGAACTTGGGAGGACTGGGAAGTTAGTGTGATCAGGGTTCATGATGTGAAATTCCCAGATAATCAATAAAAATATTATATTAAAAAAAAACAAGCTGGAGAGATGGCTCAGAGGTTAAGAACACTGGCTGCTCTTCCAAATGTCCTGAGTTCAATTCCCAGCAACCACATGGTGACTCACAACTATCTGCAATAAAATCTGGTGCCCTCTTCTGGCTTGCAGGCATACATGCAGGCAGAATATTGCATACGTAATAAATCTTCAAAAAAGTGCTGGGTGGTGGTGGCGCACACCTTTAATCCCAGCACTTGGGAGGCAGAGGCAGGCGGATCTCTGTGAGTTCAAGACCAGCCTGGTTTTCCAGTTGCTTTTGGTCATGGTGTTTTGTTCCAGCATTAGACAACAAACTGAGACATATATCATTTTGAGATATCAAAGGCAACCTGTACTCTGCAAGAACATTTAACAATATTAAGGCATTATTGTCCATGTTTTATGTGTGATAATGATATTGTGGTTATACCTATATAAGACATCTCATATTTTATCTGTTTATCTGTATATCTCATCTGATATCTATTTTTTCAAAATAATCTGATGAGGTTGAAAATAAGGAGGTTCAGCCAGGTGGTGGTGGTGGTACACACTTTAATCCCTGCACTTACTCTGTGAGTTCAAGGCCAGCATGGTACACAGAACGAGTTCCAGAACAGTTAGGGTAACACACAGAGACCCTAAGGAAGGAAGGAAGGAAGGAAGGAAGGAAAGAAGGAAAGAAGGAGGAAGGAAGGAAAAAAGAAGATGCTTCAGACAAAACATTGGTGGAAATAGATAATGTGGAAGCCCAACTATGGAGACATGAGGGCTTAAAAACTAGTTTATATAATTTACAGAGATTTGAAAGAATTGTCAGTCCTTTCCCTAACAATCCTGTCTCTGGTCATTCTATATTTTCAGGAAAGCTCACCCTGCCTGCCATAGTCAACCCTAGGAACAAGTGACTAACAACAAATTTTGGTAGAGCAATACAAGGGACTGTCAAAATGAAGCTGGTATTTCTATAGGAAAAGAAGCACATGACTTATGTATATGTGAAAAAAGCAATTGTAGTTATTCAGTATGACACTATTATGTAAAAATTAACTAGGGCTGGAGAGATGGCTCAGAGGTTAAGAGCACTGACTGCTCTTCCAGAGGTCCTGAGTTCAATTCCCAGCAACCACGTGGTGGCTCACAACCATCCGTTAAAAGATTTGGTGCCCTCTTCTGGTGTGCAGATATACATGGAAGCAGAATGTTGTATACATAATAAATAAATAAAATCTTAAAAAAATTAACAACCATATGTTACCTACTGAAAAAGTAGTTATTGCAAGGTGTAAAGAAACTAAATATTTCAATCTTAACTTGAATTTCACATAAATGTGTTATATTTGTCAGCACAATAAAAAATTTTTTAATGTTTTTTTGTTTGTTTTTGTTTTTTTGAGATTTTTTTATTATGTATACAGTGTTCTGCTTGCCAGAAGAGGGCAGCAGATCTTATTATAGATGGTTGTGAGCCACCATATGGTTGCTGGGAATTGAACTCAGGACCTCTAGAAGAGCAGCCAGTGTTCTTAACCTCTGAGCCATCTCTCCAGCCCACAATAAAAACATTTTAACAAATTCATTCCATATTACTCTAATGCAGTAGGCACTAGATAAAGGGAGAAAAGGGAAATATATGAGGATAGTAAAATTGTAAAGAAAGTCTGAAAGTGGCAAAAGAATATGATTAGGCTACAGTAAATCATGAGATTCACAAATCCAGTCTTTGGACTATAAGGTCTAGACACAGAGGTCTCTTTGAAACTCACAGTGAATACCCCACACAGAACCTTTCTTCTCCTAGGGTACCTGCTTAGATTCCTTCCCTATAGTACTGCCACCACCACATGGGAAGAGGATACGAAGGCACACATACATATACATATATAAATATACATACATATACATATACATATGACATTGCCACTCTTCATTTCTGCTCTTTTAAAACAAATATGAGATAAGACAGTCCTCTGGAGTCCTAGGGCTCTAGACACAGACAAAATATATATTTGTTTGCTAAATGGATATTCGATGGGATTAAACTATTACAGCTAATATTTTAGGAGTATAATAATACTTAGCAATATTAAAAAGAAAGAAGTCTTTATAATTTAGACATACTGGACTATTTACAAAAGAAATTATTTAACATCTGAGATGTGTGTTTAAATTATCCAATGGGAATGGGTAAATGAAGTGATGAGATAGATGCTGAACATATCAGGAGGCACAAGCTGCCATTACACTCCCCCTATTCACATCCACACTTTACTTATTTATTAATTCATTTTGTTTTTTGAGACAGGGGTTCTCTGTGTAGCCCCACCTGCCCTGGAACTCACTCTGTAGACCAGACTGGCCTCGAACTCAGAGATCTGCCTGCCTTGGCCCCTGAGTGCTGGGATTAAAGGCGTGTGCCACCACTGCTCAGCTTCATATCCATATTGTAAACATAAAGTTAAATATAAGGTAGGAGAAGGACAGTGTTACAGCTGATTTTATTTTACAGCTAGTTTATTTTCCCACAAAAGCCCAATTCTGAACATTATCCTTTTTTTGGCTTTGAAGCAATCACTATTCTGGCCATAGACATGCCACTCACAAAGACCCCAAAATGTAGATGTTCCAGGTCCCTCCACAGTGAGGGCATATTATAGAACCCCATGTTTACGCCTGGTTGGGGACTAGCAAAGCACCCATAGAGGACAAGAAGTACTTCTTATTCCAGAGCTGACTAAGAGAACATCTTTGGAAAGCCACTTTACTTAAACTACAGTTCACATATCAGCCACCATACTGTTCGTGTATGCTCTGTTAAGCAAACAAAATGCTGTCCCAAGAGCCTGGTAACAGTTTCACAGTGTCATCAGTGACTGTCCAATACATTTGGCATCATGTATCATTACCTGTTCAGTTTTCCTTGCAATAAGATTGCCAATGGTCTTGCTGAAAAAACTGGCAAGCAGAGGGTTGAGTGGTGGCTCCTGGTCCAGGAAGTCATATAGAAGGTTCAGCAGACTCTCGTCCTCGCCTAGTCTGTCGCTGATCTGTGGCACATCACAAGTCAGAAGCTCACAGGCTGTGTTTGGATATCTAAAAGGGCACACAGTCCAAGCACTGGAGGTGAAATTAGACTTCTCTAACTATTAAGAAGCAGACACATGTCAGGACTGGAGAGAGAGCTCAGTGGTTAAGAGTATGTATTGATCTTCCAGAGGACCTGAGTTCAAATCCCAGTGCCCATGCCCGGTGGCAGAGACACCTGTAACTACAGCTCCAGGTGATCCAACACCTCTAGTCTCTAGGCACCCACAAATATGGCACTCTCTCATACATATACACACATATACACAATGTGTTAAAAATAAACACATTTAAAAAAAGGAAGCAGACCCATGTGATAAGAGCAAATTAGTGAACAGACCTCAGAACAGAATGAAGACAATACTCTCTAACAACTGCAATTTCTGACTATTGGAACTTCAAAGTTCTACACATATCTTTTATGAGCTCTATATATCCTGCACTCGAAATAGTCTAAATTTTCTGACTCTACTTCCATTCTGTAAATAACTGTAATTAAAAAAAGAAAAAGGATTTCATGTAGCCTGGACTGGCCTCAAATTCACTATGTAGATGAGGATGGCCTTATCCTCCTGCCTTTACCTCCCAAGCACTGATTACAGGTGTGTACCAGCACACCAGACTTAGATAATCTTTCTTTTGCTCCTGGATTCTCTCTGTAGGCCTTCATCTTCATCTGCCAGGCCTCTCCCTGTTGACTGTCAGTGAGGCTGAGTCCCAGTCATGCTCATGTTTCTCCTTGGGAAACTGCCTTTCTTCTTCTCCCCACTTTCTGTGCCTTCAAGTCAGTAAGCACAGACCAAAACTGTTCTACAGTAAGAAATATCATGTCTGCAGCTATGAAATAGTATCAGCTGTGAGACATCATGCAAGTATCTTACTATTAAGAAATGCTAGTATGTGCAAATGTATTTTTCATTTAATGAAAATGATTATAGACAAGATAACCCTTAGCCCACTATGTGTGATTCCATGCTTTTACTGTTTCTTCTTTAGCAGCAGGTCCACACAACATAGAAGACAACCAATGCCCCAGAAACAGTTCTCCACTGGCTGTGGGATGTGGATGCTCCTTCTCAGTCAGACAAGAAGGAACAGCCTTCAGAGCCACGAAAGAGCTGTCAGTCATACAGACCCAGAAGGATATACAGGACAAGTAGGCCTTTGGACAGGAGAATAGTGTGAGAAGTGTTCAGGGACCCACAGGCTGGGTGTGGGAGGGGCCTAAGGGTAAAGTTAGTTCTGGGATTATTCCTTTCTGGCTAACCTCTCAGCCTTGATATCCTTGTCTGTGAAGTGGGGCAGCCAGGGCCCCACCTCCTGGGATGGCTGTAACCCTGCACAAGTGTTTAGTATAGAGGATCATACATGACCAATGAGGGCAGGGAGATCAGAGAGAGCAGGGGGAAAGGGCCATGTCAGCAGCAAAGAAGGTCACAGTGATGTTCTACTAGATCAAATAAGACCTAGCATGCTAGGGCAGTGCAAAAAGTCAAATCCTAGGGGAACAAAAAAGAGACAGCACTTTGAGACATTTTCACAGCTTGAAATAATCAATTTGTCTAAACAGACAGCAGGTGTAGCTAAAAGATATCAACTCTTCTTTTCTTTTTGAGTCAGGGTCTTTTTACATAG